GGCCAAATCTGGCCCTCTGCCTGTTTCCGTAAAAAAAGTTTTATTGAAACACAGCCACACCCATCCGTTTATGTATTGTCCACAGCTGATTTCATGCGACTACAACAGAGTTGAGTAGTTGTAACAAAGATCAGATAGCCTGTGAAGCCAAAAATACTTATTATCTGGCCCTTTACAGAGAAAGTTTGTTGACCCTTGCCCTAAACCAGTATGATATACTCCTCTCTGATGATTCTCTAATAATAGAGAAAGGAAAGGAACTGTGGCTATTGAGAGAACACAGTGGTTCCATTTTCAAGACCCTCGCTGGCAATGGACTGGCTAGCACGCCCACACTCATTTCGTCCTATTTCTTCCTTCCTCTGTGGTGTGGAATCTTAGAATTTTAGTTCTGGAAGAGCCTTTCAGATCCTCCATCTGACTGTGTCCCATTACAGAGGAGACTCTCTGAGGTTCCTAGAGGTTAATGATGTGCCCAATGTCACAAAACTGGGACAAGCCAAGTCCTTAGGTTCCTTGTGGGGTTCCCAGTTCCCACTCCTTTTGGAATGCTAACTTCTGCTTTGCAGGGGTTTGTGGAAGGGTTGGCTCAGCTCCATTGCACCCCGCTGCTCCCACAGAGCTAGCTCTGCTAGGTGTGACCAAACTCTACTCCAAAACAAGAGTCCTCCACTGGACGGTGTACCTGGGACCCTGCCTCCCTAAGTAATTTCTGCTACCACTAGCCAGGGAGTGGGGGATTTCCCCCTCAAACCTCACATTCCTGCTTTCTCATCTCCCATATCCCCAAATAATCATTACAACACAGCTCATAGGCAGCTGCTTGTTAAAGATGCCAAACCACGGTGCCATACAAAAGGGAATCCTGGGCCACCAAGCAACCCACAGTTATGAAAGGTATAGCTTGATGGTTTCACGTTACTCAGTTGGCTTGGCTTGCCTCCTCCATGACTCAGGCTTCTGGAGGCCTCTCTCCTGCCTACCTATGTAAGCTGACTCCTCTTGCAACCCAGCCCTGGAGTCCTGGCTCCTCCTCTCCAATTGTCGCTCACTTCTCTCCCCAGCCCAAGGCACAAACTATTTCCCTCTCTTGGCCTCATTAACCTTTTAGGAATGGAGTCTTTTTCCAGAGCTCCTGGATCTCCACCTGTTACAGGTAACAACTGCTCCTGTCAAAGTCCCCAAAGTCTCCAGGAATGCCCCCAACTGGCCTCTCCTCTGTCCAATCTCCTTTTAGACCTTACAAGCTCTGATTTCCTCCTGCTTTTCTCATTGGTGACTACTCAACCCTCCAGGCCTCAGGTGGATCAACCCAAGGTCAACACAAGTCCTCCCCTCCTAAAATCCACTACCACTCGCTTCCCAAAGCCTCTCTGGTGGCTCACTCCTCCTACAACACAAAGAAAAGGGACTAAAGGAAGATGGAGGGAGTAAAGGGCCCCACTGGAGGGTTTCTGCTGCAGTCAACAGGCTGAGAGAAACGTCAGTTCTGAAGAGCCTGTGACCCTGTGATGTTCTACTGGGGCCAGCACATTTGAGAACTGATATTCCAGTTATGAACTTCCTGGTGGACAGGCCTGAAATGACTTTTTATTTTAATACAAAGGGAAATTTAGAAATGTTTGATACAGTTTAAACTATTTTCCAATTTTGGAAAGTACTGAGATTTGCATTTTCTTGCATGCCATGTTTTCCTTCAACTCTTTCTTTCAAGGGTGAATTGCAGTAGTGTTTTAAAACCATTTTAAATTTTAGAATGGAAATCATCATGCTTATTTTTCTTTTAAGTTAGCAGTTTTTTAAACTTTGTAAGTCAGCAGAATCTTGTTCTCAAACAAAATCTCGGCAGACTGTCCTTATATAAAATAAATAAAGGTTGAGTTGCTGAGAAGGAGGACGAGGGCAGCCCCAGAGCATTTCTGCAGCATCTAAGGGTCATAGTGAACACATTTTCAAAAACCGCTATTTTATAACCATACTTTACTGAGTCTAAAATACCAACTACATAGCACGATGAATGAAAAAACATTGCCATTTAAACTATAGCATGCCCCTGTTTGACTATAACACACAAGCCAATTTCAGAGATGTTAAAAAGGGGTCAATGTCTAGCTGGAATTGATTATTTACAGTAGTATAAATAAATATACATATAAATCATGTTCATTTATTCACACAGTCAATCTGAAAGTTAAATTTAAGTGAAGCGGCCGCAACAGCGTCACGGAAATGCTAGCTTCCATTTACTGGGCACGACTAGGTGCTGTGCACCAGACAGACGCCAACAGGAGGGTTCCTTGGTACTCCTGACCTTCCCTCCATTCCTTAACGTTCCCATTTATTGAGCACTTGCCAAGCACAGTGCTGAGTGCTGTACACGCATTTTCTCATTTAATGCCGACAAGAACCCTCAAGAGTAGGGATTATTCTCCCTTTTTATAGACGTAGAAATTGAAGCTCAGGGACATTCAGTAACTTGCTCAGAGTCACACAACTAGTAAATGGGGCAGGTCAGGTATGCTGACTTCAAAGCCCATGCTCATTCTGCCATAGAATCTTCTTGAATTAGAGCATTCTCAGAGTTGAGAGAAACCTAGAGATTGTTGTTTCCCCATTCAACAATCCCTCTTTCCAGCATCCCTAACAGATGGTGATGTTTTCAATAAATCTGACCAGAGGGATAAGAGTCTACCCAAACCAGTGATTATCAAACCTGCCTGATCCTCAAAAGCATCTGGGAAGCTTTTTAAAAATGCAGATTCCTAGGTCCCTCTTCCAAGGTTTTTTCATTTAGTAGGTCTAGAGTGAGGCCCAGGAATCTATATTTTCAGAAAGCACACCCAGGTGATTCTCACACATAGGCAGGTTTAGAAACCATGAATGTAATCTCATGAAGCCTTGGATGGAAACTACTGGAGGAAGAAAAGTCAAATTTCAGCCTCATCAAGGAAGCAGTGACTTCTGCATAAAAGAGTGATGCCATGTTTCTCTGCTGCTTATAATAATCCAACACTGAGACATGAGTAAGAAAAACACCACTCACAGGAAACCCCACATGAACCACTGAATCCTACCTGCTTTGGGTGGAACTAATTCCTCTCATCAACCAACTCTCAGCCCAGTCTCAGACCTGGGCGCCATCAGGAAGACAGGCATTATCGCTGATTAAGATGTGATGTGTTCCCAGGCCTAGCCCAAAATGCATGTCTCCTAAGGGTGGTTCTGCCCTATGCCTCCCTCTCTTGCAGGTTTCTCCACCCCACCCCCGAGATTGGAAGCTGAGGTCTTACCCCTAGTAAATCAGCCTTAGAAATTTTACATGAAGAGATATGAATTTCTTGTCATAGTGATGTGGAGAGGGAGAGACAAGGCGGCTGGGTGCAAACTGAGGCCAGACGAGCACTTGGCAGGTTTACTGTAGGGGGCACTGGAGCATTAAATGGGGTGGAGGGCGGGTTGTTTTCAAAACAACTAAAGTAAACTTCAAGGTCCTATTCAGTTCTCCAGTTCAGCAAATCTCAAATCCGCTGAGATTTCATGACAGCCTTGGCTCTGAAATCTGTACAGCAGTACTGCCCAAGAGAACTTTCTATGACGATGGAAATGTTCTAGATCTGCACTGTTCAATATGTTAGCCACTATCCACATGTAGCTATTAAGCACTTGAAATATGGCTAGCACGTCTGAGGAAAGAAATTTTTAATTTATCTAACTTTAATTTCAACTTAAATAGCCAGTGTGATTAGTGGCTATCATATTACATAGTGCAGTTCTAGAGGGACCACCCCAGCCTTACCTTGAACTTTGTGATCAGAGCTGTCTATTCAATACCAGCTTTTAGGACAGCACCAAAATCAAAAGCATGAGAAGATAAAATGTATCAGGAGAGATCACCATGAGGGACCCACTATGGAAATCAGCATCTACCCAGTATTCTTGGCCACCTTAAGGATAAAGCAGAAATGACTTCAGGGATAACCCAAGCAACTATGAAGATTCCGGTTACTAAAATCCGTCCCAAAATAGCTGATCAAAGGCCAACTGCAGGAGGTGGCGTGATTTCCTCATAACTTCTCCCTGTGATATGTATATGACAGCGACAGTCTTTACTTTCTTGCTTCCTCCAATCAACTCATAGCTGTCACTGTTTTCTCATTGTATGTATGCTTCATTACCCACCTCTTTCACCAGCCTGTCTTGCTTGGATCTTAAGCCCAAGGAATTGCACAATTTGGTCAGTTTGGTCAACCAGTTGTTTCCGTGAGAACTCTGGATAGAAATGGTCATTGAACCGAACTGATAAACCAGCCAGAACCCTGTGCTGACAGGATGAAAGAGACCTCCCAGCTTCTCATCCCACCATGCACATGTCCTTTGATTGGGATAGTGCTGCCCATGTACAAGGGTCAGGGGAAACACCTCTCAAATATACAAAATACAAAGTCTACCGAGACATGAGGAGAACTGTAATTGGGAACAGTAGAAGCCTCTTCCTCCATCCAGTCTGCAGGCATCTCTTGAGGGCCTCCTGAGTGTCAGGCACTGCATTAGGCTCCCGAGGGGACAGATAGTCTTCCGTGGGACTTAAAGTAGCAAAAAGGTAGCAAAAGAGCTACTGTTTATTGAGTTTCCACCCCATAAGTGGTCTCCACTTCTCATAACACTCTGGAAGGTAAATATTACCATCTCCACTTTGCAAAAGCTCAAGTTCGCCCAGACCACGTCGGTCCAGGTGGGTTTTTTTTTTGCCTCTCCATACTGCCCGCCTTGTGTAGTCTTTTCCTCTATTTATCCCTTAAAGGATTCCAAGCATTATTTATTTAAAGGCTATTTCCTTATCACAAGAGATTAAAGGGGCCCAGGAGACCTAGTGAGCAGGAGACCCACTATCAGGGATCTAAGGCAAGAGGGAAGAATCACCACCACCCAAAACTGAGAAGAAAATGGCCTCCTGTGGGGAATATCACAGTTAAGCAAATAGTATTTCAGAGAAAACTTACCGGCCACCACACCATATTTCGTCCTGCGAGGAAGAAGCCTCCAACAGTCCCACGGTTGGTGGAAAACATAGCCTGAGGAGGAAGAGGCAAAAATTTAATAGAAAACGGGAACAGAGTGACCTTGCCTGCCAACAGAATGTACCCACACACACCGTACCCACACTTTCTTCTATCTACTTCACTTTCCGAAACACTTCCCATTCCTTACTCCCCTGGAGCTCCAGTATACTCAGATGCCCTAGTGTTAGCTCTGCAATGAGCTTAAGGTGTGGCTTTGAGCAAGTCACTCCTCCTACATCTGTTCATCTGATAAATAAAGGGAAAAGGAACTTTTTATGCCTTTTTTACAAGCATACTGAAGGTACCTAGGGAAATATCATGCTTTTTAAAAGCCTCATACAGAACATGAATTATATCTAAAACAAAAAGAAGAAAAATACTATAGTGCACAGCCTTGGTACTAAATATTACATAAAAGACTGAACATGAAACTCAACTCAAAACTTTCTTGGGATATAGGTAGGAGCTTGAGGTAAAAATTACTTTTCAATATATTATGAATACTGAGGAATGATTATGATGATGAAGGCAGAAGAAGGAGAGGATTCTTTCTGACTAGGGTGTCAGGAAAGGCTTCAGAGGGGGCAGTATTTTAGCAAGTCTTAAAGAAAGAGTGGGACTTATTAGTTGGAGAAAAGAAGGACAGGATACTTCAGACTGCATGAACAGCAGGAGCGATGACCCAGAAGTGGAACTTCACCGGTCTGGGGAGGGAAGGAACCGTGAACAGTATTACCTGGTGACCTGGCTGAGAGGTATAAATGGGGAGAGTAGTTAGAAGTGGGGGCTGACTACAGACCCTCAAATGCCAGGCTAAAAAGTATAGGCTTTATTCTATAGGCAGTAGGGAACCACCGAAGGCTTATGAGAAGAAGGACATATATTTTCAATAAATGACCACCAGCCCTTGGAATGTTGCCTCTGAACCTTGAGCTTATTCCTGGTCCAGCTCAGGCCCAGGTCCAGTCCTCTACCAAAAAACAGGGACAGTGTCTCTGCGCCCCCCCCCCCCCGCCTCCTTCCCCCTTCCTCTCTCTAACGATGGCCTTCCCTTAGCTGACGCTTACTAATCTCCCTGAAAATGCTAATGGCTGATAAAGGCTTAGCGCTGTCAGAGGTGTCTGTGTTTTCATAGGTGACCCCTGAGGGTGAAGAGCATCACTGGTCCAAAGGACTTAACCTCTGATGGTGACATTTCAGGCATTTAGAAACTCACCATTCATTCAGCAAACATGTCTGCTACAGAGAGCACACTGCTGGGTGCTCAGACAGCACAGATGTACTGGACTTAGTCCTTTAGGAAGCAGGGCCATTCACGCATCCAAACAATCAACCGAGATTTGCTGAGCACCCCTGTGTGCTAGGGAGTGCCAAGGAGAGTGTGGCTAGGATCTTTCTGGACTCTTGGAAGGGTCCTCCCTCCCATAGGACATACTCTGAGGATCTCTGTAGTGGTTTTTCTGGGAATAACAAGAGGACCAACAGACCCAAGGAGCAGACAAGGTAGCCAGGGCTGAAACAGAAATAAGTCCCAAGGACTCAGGCTCCAGCAGCTAGCCAGGGAGAGGCCATTCTGAAGGTCATTCTGAAGTTGAAGCAGGATGACACCCCCAGGAGGGTTGGAGGGACAGGAAAAGTGGGTTTGGAGCCCAGATACAACATTTCCAAATTGGTTTCAGAAATGAAGAGCTTGGAGGAAGAAGTGAGGACAGAGACTAGAGAGGGGAGCTGGATAATTCAGGAATGATGTCTGTGATGGACAAAAGGTGAGGAGAGGTGTGTCTACACTGGGCCTTTTCCTCTTCCACATATTGATCCCCTCATCTCTGCAAGCCCAGACACTGCATACCCATCCTTCAAGGCCACTCAAATGCCACCTTCCTCCTGAAACCTCACCTGACACTCCGCGACGGAAGCTCCCTCCTCACCCATGGCCTCCTTCTGCGCCCCCCAACAAAATTATCCATCTCTCCTTTGAACAACCAGTGAACTTGGTCTATACCTCATTCACAGCCCTTACAAATTTTTTACTTTGCATTACCATATTACAAATTTTTTCCAGCTTTGTTAAGGTATATTTGACAAATAAAAATTATATACGTTTAAGGTATACATGTGATGTTTTCAAATACATATTCATTTTTTTATTGAAGTCACATTGGTTTATAGCATTGTGTAAATTTCAGGTGTACATCATTATATTTTGGCTTCTGTTCTGTTAGACTGCATCGTGTTCTCTGCCGGGGGCTGGGGGTTGCCAGAAATAGATGTTGGTTAAAAGGTACAAAGTTTCCATTATGAGAGGAATAAAATCTAAAGATCTAATGTATGGCATGGTGACTGTAGTTCATAATACTGTATTGTTAAATTTGCTAAGAGAATAGATGTTAAGAGTTCTCATCACAAAAAGAAAAACTGTAACCATGTGAGGTGATGGAAATGCTAATCAGCTTGATTGTGGTAATCGTTTTACAAATTTTTAATCCCTCATAATAATGCTGAGTATAATGCCTTATGCATGGTGCACATTTAATAAAAAGTCAGATGAATGCGTTTCACAGTGCCCTCTGCCTCCACTTCTCGCCCATGTCCCACCCTGAACACTCCTGGAAATGAGCAGTACCCCTCCAGGCAGGCACTCTGCAGTCTGTCAGCAACACTCAATACGTGCTGTCTGAGGCATGCATTGCAGCTCATGTACCCTGCCTCCTCCTTCCCTGCTGTTCACACTCTACAAATAGAAAGACACTATCTCCGTGAGCAAGGGATGCTCAAAAAAAAGGAAAGTTCCAGAGCCCACCTTGTGAACCAAGGCATTAAATTTGCCTGTCCACCCTGCAACTAGAAGAGAATGATTTCACAATTGTAAGCCACAAGGCAAAAGAAGCACAATTACTGACCCACATTTTTTTTCTCAACGGAATAAAAATATTGAGCAAAAGGAAGGCACTTCAGACCTTGGTTTGAAGCTTAAGAAACTGGGATGTTGGGCCTGGAGAAGAGAAGACTCAGGTGTGGCATTTCGTGTTCTGATATGTAAAGGGGGGACAGACTCGCTCAGTGTGGTCTGCATAAGACACAACCAGACACAACGGGAGAAGCTCCAGGATGTCAGCTCTGAGCTCAGTACCAGGAAGAATTTCCTCACTACTGGAGCTGTCCAGAGATGGAAATCCACTGGGGAGAGTTTCTGCTGGAAGTATTCAAGTGAAGGCTGTTGACAACTTGTCAAGATGATTTTGTCAAGCGGTGTAAAGATAAGACTCAAGCATAGGGTGAAGAGGGTTGAACTTGATAAACTTTAGGCCCTCACTTTAGGAAATATGTGAGGAAGTCGGCACCAGCAGGACACTGTCACAGCCACGCAGGTCAGGGGAAAGACCTTGGAGAGGGTATTCCCAGAAAGGACAGTGTGTTAGGGAGGGAGAAAGGTAAGATAGTGGAAAGAGCATTGTCTTTGGTATCATGAGACCTGGGTTCTAGTCCAGCTCTGGTGCTGATGCATCTGAGTGACTTCCGGACACCATTTCTGATCCTAATCTGTAAAATGGGAAGGTTGGGCTATCCCATCAGCCATTCCTACTCAGGCATCCAATGATGCTCTTAGTGCAAATGATTACAGAAGGCAGGGGTCAGTAAATTTTTCCTGTAAAGAAAAAGGACCAGATAATAAGTACTTTTAGGTTTTGTGGGATACATACAATCTCTGCCTCATGCTTTTCTTGTTTATTTTCTTTTTCACTACCCCTTAAAATTGTAAAAAAGGTTCTTAACTCGTGGGCCATACAAAAACAGGCTTGGGCCAGATTTGGCCATGGCCGTAGTTTAACAAGCCCTGGCATACAGGGTTTCAGATTAGCTTAATGAAATCTTCCAGAAAGAATAAAGTCACAGATTAGCCTAAAGGGAGATGAAACCCCTAAGAAGCAAACTGAGAGGCGGTGAATGAAAAATGGAAACAGACTCTGAAGAAGTTATAAACTCAATGCAAATGTGATTGGATGAGGCAGCATTAGAAAAGGGTGAAACAGAACAAAATAATGTTGGAAGAGATGGGGATGGTGACAGGCGGCCATTGGCTGTGGATGTTTTTTCTAAGTTGGGGAAGCCCAGTGAGCCTAGACCGTGTTCTCTGTGCAGCCCAGAGATCATGCAGAGGTCAGGATGCCTGACCCTGAACCAAGCCACTCTTGACGCTCCAATAGAAAAAAGAGGAATGTCAACTGGAAGAAATCCAGCCCCTTGAATGATCAGGGTGCAGAGGCACTGACTAATGGGGGAAGATTAAATCTAGACAAATACTAGCAGGCTCATTAAGTAGCATTTAACAGGACAAGTGATACTGATTCACAGATATTTGAAAAGTGTAAACACCATAATCAGCAAGGCTAGAATGAGATTGGATAAGGGTACAGAGATTATCAGCGATTGTCTGGGAAACAGGCAGTACAGCGCAGCTTGCAAATGATGGATTCACATCTCAGCTCCAGCACTTATAAGCTGGAGTGGGGCCGGGGGAGGAAGGCGGGCAAGGTGGCAAAGCTCCTGGTATTGTGGAAGAGTCCAGAGACCCGAGTCCCAGGAACGATCCATGAGTTGTAAGCTTAGGCAAACCACAACCGTACGAGGCTTCAGTTTCCTCTTCTGTAAAATGCGGACTAGCACTCCTGCCTTCTCTGTCTTGTGGCTTTTTGCGACGATGTCCTACCCAGCTGACCACTTTTGCCCGTTTTACTTAAAAGGACAAAAATAACTCAGGGCCTGGCTCGTACCCTGGAGGGCAAATGATAATAGTATAAAAAAAGATTCCTAAAGTCCATAAAGAGCTTTCAAATTCATCTCTGCCCATCCTCACAACCTTGGGGAGTCATAAATATAGGTAAGATTGTACCTATTTCACACCTGAGTAAACTGAGGCTGAGGAGAATTACCCAAGGTCGCATGGCTGGAACCATGTCAAAGCCTGTACTAAACTCGAGAATCCCGGCTCCTGGTTGGACAATTTCCACTACATGTGGGAAGCTGAGAGTATTGAGAAAGAAGCAGCCACACCAATCTCTTGCGACACTTGAGGAAACTTTCAATCACATCTGGTTTCTACAATTCCTTAAAAAAAAAAAAAAAGGACACTTCCTTTTACCCTTGAAAAAACTCTGTGGCCATGAAAGGGTTAATGTCCACTCTCCTCTCCACTAAGTCAAAAGACTTCGATACAACCATCTGTTGGCACCGCAGCCTCCTGGCTGGTCACCCCAACAACAGCCTTTGAGAGTGGCTGGAATATTTGCACATTTAAAACATCTCTTCCAGTTGCTGGGTGTGCCAGAGTCTGTCATAAGTGAAATTTCCAAGTTCCAGGCTGCTAAGAACAAGTTCCTCTGGTTTGGTGTGTCCCCAGAGTCCCAAAGGGGAGCCATAGGCATTTCCCTCTTCCCAGCACCAGGCCACGCTGCAGTCTTCCTCCTCCTCCTTCATGACCCAGCTTTCCCAACTCTAACTCGCTCCAGCCCCTGTGATCCCAGGACACAAGGCCTTCAGGTCAGCATTTCCCAGGAAGGGGACACCGGGCATTGCCCCCACCTTGGGCTGCCCCACAGCACCTGCAGCTGGCAGAGGCTTCTGCTTCTCCCATTCTACACTGTTTCTTTTCCATCCACAACTGGATGACAAAGAGGCGGGACAGTAGTCACCTCTTCAGGGCTCATCTCTCAAACCGGGGGACCCTCCCTGCAGCTCCAAGCTGGCCCTCTGCTGCCCCTCACACCCTCCCGCAGTCTCTGCACTCTCCCACTCTCCTCTGCTCACAGGTCCGAGGTACCCTCCGTGGGCCTAGCTAGCCGGCTCCCTTCGGCGCCCCTCACACTTCTGCTTGTCGTTGCTTGCCCACCCCGCATCTCACACTGTGCCCCCTGAACTCCTCTCAAGCGCTTCCAAGTCATTTCCACTCTTATCCTCAGACCCTTAAGCCCGCTCTCCCCTCCTCGCAGCTCACTGAGGCTCCCGCTCCTCCGTGCGCCCCCCTCGTCCCTCCCGGTAGCTCTCGCCCCCTCAGCCCGCGTCCCAGGACCCCCACATACCCACAGCCCGACAGCCATCACCACCACGAAGTAGATGACGATGACAGAGATGTCGGCCGCATTACGGATGCGCTCATAGGACGCGAGGGGCGCGGCGGTGGTGGCGGTCCCGGGGCTCCAGGTGCTGCTGTCCATGGCGGCGGCGGCGGCGATGCGTCCCTCCCGCCCAGGCCACTTGTTCCTTATACGGCCTCCTGGTTAATGATCAGCCCCGGGGGAGGGGACCCGCGAAGTCCGGACAGCTGGGCTGCGATGAGGGGCCCCTGCGCTGCGCCGTCGGGGAGCAGCTCCGGACGCAGAGCGCTGAACGAGGAGCACGCCGACCTGTTGGCGCGGCGGCCGCGGGCCAGCAGGTAAGGACTGTCCCGTGAGCGGGGAGGGGCCGGCCAGGGGGTGGTGCCCGCCTGGCACAAAGGCCCGCTGTGCTCCCGCAACGGGCACCCTGCCAGGCAGCCACGACAGCCAGGCCACACCCTGGACGGACGGAGCAGGGGCGGCTCCATTGAGGAACCAGGCTGCCTGGGGCCAGCGGCATAGAGGCTTCAGGTCACTTGCCCTTGGACCAATCCCACTCCCTCTGTGGACTTGGCTTCTCCGTGTGCAGAATGGGCTCAGGGCTGTTCTCAGGAATCAGCCAAGTTCTTGGTCTCCACGGAGAACACTCTGGGGAAGGCCTGAAGTTGTTGGATGTTGCCGGCAAAATTCAGCACCTTTCAGCTTAGACACCTTCCTCGAAAGGGCTCCAAATCACAGCTAGGTGGTAGGCAAGAATCCTTCCAAGGAGCTCGTCAGACCCCGACCCCTGCAAGGGACTCGGTGGCCCATCTGGAAACGCGTCTAAGCTGAAAGTTGGGGTTCAGAACAGAGAAGGCTGAGAGAGGAGGCCTGACTCACCCAAGGTCCCACAGTGAGCCAGTGCCAGAGGTGGCCCTGCAGCCCAGGTCAGCACAGGCCCAGCTCAGGGAGGGTTAGGGGATGCGCTAGGGGGCTGGGGCCAGAGGCCACAGAACCCCTTTTGGAGAGGGGAGCCTTGTTCGAGTGATGAGGTGCAGGGAGGGGGAAGGACCACACAAACGCTGCCGGGAGGCTGTTCTGCCTCACGCCCTCCCTGCCCACCACCAGACAACCCTCCACAGCCCAAATGCCCCCAGCCTATTCCCTTTACACCCTGCTGCCTCTGAGGTCCAATCCCCTCCTGCCTCTTCAGTGCTGAGGTCTTGTCCATTTCCCCCCCACCCATCCCAGGACTGTAAACTGTAGTAAGGCTATGTCCAGGGCCGGTAATAATCCCTGCCCAGAGACAGCGGGAATTCCTCTTCTGGGGAACCTGGAAGCAGGGGCTCTTTGCTGTGGATGCCTCCCAAGCCTTAGAGTTCAGCCGTTAGCCGCAGCTTGGAGCAACTTGCCTTTCATCCATGACCATTCATTCCCACATCCAGCAAAGCATTTTCACCTGGCTCTGGGCCAAGCAGAGTCCCTGCCTTCAGGGAACTTCTGGTATGGTCTAGAAGTGAGCCCACCCACAGGAAAAAAGTTCAGCCCTGATCGCCCAGCTGCAGGCAGCCAGCCCGTGCCAAGTTCCAAAAGTGAAGACTGCGGAAACAAGCAAACCCAAAAAGTGAGCAGGAGGGAGGACTGGAAGTGCTAAAGGACTTCAAAGAGGGACAGAGCTGTCCTTTGATCTTTCTAGGACAGCAGAACCTGGGTGGCCAGAGAAGGGAAGGGATGGCAGGCAGGGAGAGACCAAAAAAGTCCATTCATTCATTCATTCATTCTTGCAACAAAAGAGCAGTTTCTCTTTTTTTTCCCAAGAGCATAGCAATTCATTGTTTTAATGCACTTTTATATACAGGGAGTTGCTTGTCATCTTTGCTCTGGTGAGTGTTGAGTCTGAAGTTTTCTTTTTGCTGTGAACACAGTGCTACCAAATTTGTCTTTTCCTGCAAAAGCTCTGCCTTAATGGGGTCCAATTTAGGGAGGCATGCTTTGCCCCGGTCCACGTTCTTTCCTCATAGAACATGCTGGTATCTCTATTCTTGAAAACTGAGGTGGAAAATAAAGGAACTCAGAATCTCTGGCAGCTCCCTGTTTTCCTTGTTACAGAAGTTGAAAGCATCAATTTTCATTTCATGCTTTGAATTGCTCGTAATATGGGTTTTTAGCGAGTCTTTGGTAGCAGATGAGCCAGAGCTCTGGAGCTGTTCACAAAAGGAGCCTCTAAGGAAAGCAAGAAATAGACTCTCGAGCTCCTGGGAGAGAAGCAAATGTGTGCTGGAGAATTGAGACCCAGATATATCGCTCTCCCAACACTGCCAAGTTGAGCTTCTCTCCGGCTTGCCAGACACCTTGTAAAATTAGTCTGATTGAGTGCTTCTGTAAGACGTCATGCAAAAAGTGAGATGGAGGGCGTGGGTAACATTCCAGTGACAGTAAAAGAGCAGCACGGTAAGGAGAGACTTTTGGGCCCAGGATATCTTATTGGGGAGTGACAAAATATGTCAAAAGGACTTTAACCACAACTTTGATAGCAAAGCACTTACCCAGCAGATTAGGATAGAAACTCCCCGGGGAATTGACCATGTTATTCTTACGGTGTGTCTTCCTCAATGGGAAACCAGCAAGCCTTTGGAAAATTACAGCTTCTTGGCACTTTCTCCTCTGTAAAGACCAACATTAGCTACAGCAGATTTTGTAACTTATTACAGGCTGAGGAGAAACCTTCATTCTCCCATCCCAGAAGCTCCCCTGCACTGTTTGCATTTTCCAGCATGCAGAGTGAAGGTGTTGGAGCAAACTGTTCCCCTTGCCAACCGGAGAGAAGGTGTTAAAACAAAAAAAAAAGTCTGTTACTTGCCAGTTTGAAAATACATATGTTCCAACATTTTGTCATTAAGAAAATGCCATTAAGAAAACTACTTCTTAATAGTTGGAGATGGCTTTAATCTAGATGAGTTTTCAAAACAGCAGCTTCTATGTGCCAGGCCATGTGCGCCAACCCTGGGGATACAGCTGTGAACAAGACTCACAGGGTTCTTGCCCTCCCAGGGCTCCCAAGCCAGTGGAGGAGAGAGACCATCAACAAAGATGAGACAGATACCTATAAAATTGTGATAAGCACTTTGAAAGAGAAGCACGGATACTCCAAACGGCTAGCAAGGATTTTGACGTGGGGATGAGGTAAGGTTGAGGGAAGGCCGGGGAAGGTCTAGTTTGAGCAGGGCCCTAAAAGAGAAGGAGTGAGCCAGTGGGAGTGGGACATACCAGGAGAGGGCACCCATGGAGGAGGCAGGGTGTCTACAGTGTATAGAGAGCGACCAGCTGGGGCTAAAATTAAACAAAAAGCATGTCATCAGCAAGTAATTCTCCACTGTGGCCATCCTCAGGCTGCCTGAGACCCTTTTGCAATTTCTTTTCATCATTGGTCTCTTCTAAAAGTAAAATTTTAACCCACAAAAAGAGTATGGAGGTTCCTCAGAAAATTAAAAATAGAACTACCATATGATCCAGCAATCCACTTCTGGGTATGTATCCAAAGGAAATGAAATCAGTGTCTCAAACACATATCAGCACTCTCATGTTCATTGAAACATCATTCACAACAGTGAAGATAGAGAAACAACTTAAGTGTCCATCGACAGATAAATGGATTGAAAAAATGTGATATATTTGTGATAAATGTGATATATATAGATATACATATACACACACAATGGAATATTATTTAGCCATAAAAAGAAGGAAATCCTGCCATTTGCGACACCATGGATGAACCTGGTGGACATTATGCTAAGTGAAATAAGCCAGGTATGGAACAACAAATGCTGTATGATCTTACTTATATGTGGAATCTAAAAAAATGGAACTCATAAACCAGAGAGTAGAACGGTGGTTGCCAGGGGCTGGGGGGTGGGGGAAATGGGGAGCTGCTGGTCAAGGGGTACAAACTTTCAGTTTTCAGATGAATAAGTTCTGGGAATCTAATGACAGCATGGTGATCATAGTTAACAATACTGTATTGTATACTTGAACATTGCTAAGACAGTAAATGTTGTGTTCTCACCACAAAAAAAAAGACACCTGAAACGATAACTATGTGAGGTGATGGACGTGTTAGTTAATTTGTGGTAATCATTTCACACAGTATTGGATATATTAAATCATCACATTGTACATCTTTTTAAAAATCATGCTGTACAACATAATTTTTTTTAAAAAACTGATTTCCCTTGAACAGATGCTTCCAGGGGAACATGGTGTGATGTACTGCCTGCCCCCCACAGCTGGTCAGAGCTGCCAGGTCACTGCTCATTGGTAAGGATCCTGTTGGTCTCTCTCTGGCCCTCACTGGTACCAACCAAAACCAGGGTCTGATCACTAAAAGGGACTTTATCGCCAGAACCCCAGAGAAAGAAGAAAGTTGGCCAAACAGCCAGGCCATGACAGAACATGAGGCTGATGAGGAAAGACAGGTCTGAGAGCAAGGAGACCCCACCTGAGTCCACACAGGTTCACAATCCGTGATCAGTTTACTGTCCTAAGTTTGACAGGCCAGGCACCCACAGATGCACAGCTAAACCTGACTGTTAGGAGAAGAATAAATATTCCAATGACTCTGAGGTCGCTAAGCTAATATCTACAGATGGCAGGGGAGGGACCCAGGATTTGGACGGTAGTGACTCATCACCAAGTGGGTATTGTCCTGACTCCTCTTTTCTGCCTGCCTCCACACTACTCACCTGTCCAGATTCCACAGGAGTCCCACCTGCTCCTGCCAGCCTGGGAACTCCTCCCCAGCAGGCCCCAAATATGCAGTGTCCACCTTTCACTGGCCAAACTGTGCTTCTTGGCAAGGGACCCTGTGGTGGGATGGCCAGCTCCTGAACTCTTGTCACACAGCAAAATCCACAGCCTAGCTGCAGGGGTGGTGAGTTTGGGGAGGTGCCTGGGGAAGGGACCCACATGACTAGCTTGAATCTCAATTCAGCCATCAACCAGTGGCGGACCATGGACGCCTCACTTGACATCCATGATCTTCCCCTTTGAACATCTGTAAAATGATATAAACAAGTACTGTCTCACCGTATGAGGCCCGACTGAGATGACGACATTAAGGGAACTCGTGACAATGATAAGGCGAAGGTGAGGGACTGAGAGGGC